CTTCACCTCTCTTTCTTATCATTCCTATAGTAATTGAAAAATTACCGTAAGTGCATTTTAAATTATCTTAAAATGTGTTAAATGTATGTTAGCCAAACCTGTTGCTGCCCGTAGCAGATAAACCAGGAAGAGAAAGGAGCTTTTCCATGGAATTGTATGCAGCCTTCTGCGCTCACATGAGCTCCTCTGAGGCTGGCCTCACGTGATACAAGCTGTGGTTGAGCGCGACTAAGACCCATATTTGTTTCAAAAACACAATTTATGACCATCCTCTCAACTGTAGACATGTGGATTGTAAAGGAAATATGTTTTACATCAGCCAATAATTGCTGAGAGGTTTTCTCATCCTCCCTTCTCTCATGACAACACGCACACGAGTCCTATCACGAAGTAAAAAGAGAAGTTCATTGTGCGTCTTTAGTAACGCGCAGTAACGGGATGTCGGAAATGATAACGGCGTTATAGTTACAGTCAAAGTAATTAGTTAGATTACTCGTTACTGAAAAAAGTAACGCCGTTATTCCCATCACTGCTCGCAAGTCAGTCAGTATCTTTGTTAAACACATTCAAATATATTATGTATGACAAAAATGTGATTGATATAGCTCAGTTTACTCTGATCATCGCGTTGTCCTTAACCACATGTTATAAGTATTCAGTTTTGGGATATACAGTATATACTGTATGTATGCAATTGTGTTTGTTTCAGTTTAAAGACTTGGTTGGTTATCCCTCGATTGTTGTCAAGCGTAAAACAAGCCCTCTCATCTATTATCTCAGAGCGTTATCAGAGTGTTAAATCTGAAAACACTTTCTCATCACCACGGGACGAAAATACCACATCGTTCAGAAAGACCTGCTCAACCCTACACTGACTGGGCTGATAACCACAGTCAATCATGCTCTTGATTTGAAAGATTATCTGATCTGGTGAGGAATTTTGGGAATTTTAAAAACATGTGGATTTGGTGGAATAGATTTGAGATAGCTTTCATCTGAATGTTGTAGGAGGTTGTTTACAAGAAAGTAGCAATGTTGTTGGATTCCATGAAAGGAGGAGATGGAAGGATTAGGTCACAAAGTCCTCAGGCTATTTCCGACATACAGTTAGAAGATGGACCTCACTAACCAATCTGCAAACTAGAGTCTCTGCTTGAAGGCAAAATATTTCACTGAAGTAGGAGTTTAAATAATATCAACATATCATGACATTTAGGGCACGTTCACACTTGGTCTAGTTCAGTTGACCTGGATCAAGTCTGGTTTGTTCAGGGAAATTGACTTTAGTGACTATAGTGAACACCACTTGGTTTTATATCCACAAATAACGACTTTTCCCCCCATGTGAAGCAGATTTGGTCCAATTAAAGTGAACCAGACCATTAACATTTCCCACTGTTAATGTTCCTCTGTAACATTTTAACATTAACAGTGTTTTATTCTGACTTTAAATATATATATTAATTTTAAGACATTTTTGAAATAAATTAGTTCAATTACTATTTTAGTAATTGAATATTTTTTACTGGTCTGTACACAAGCTTCACACATATTATTTAGTTAGTTTTACTTAAGGAAATATCTCCTCTGCATTTGACCCATCCTGTAATGCCACAAGGGCCTCTATCAGGAGCAGTGGTCACTGTAGTGCAGGGCCTGGGGTATCATCTCCAGATGTTGATGCTCAGCTTGGTCAGGACCAGAACTGGAAGATTTTACCTTGTGTACAAATTTTTAGTGATAGTTAAACCGGAGCACCTTAAACCCATGAAGACTCGGGGAACGTGCAAACTCCACTCAGAAAAGCCCTGTTCTCACGGGGATTCGAACCCAGGAATTCCTACTGAGAATGCCACATCATATTAAAAGTCAGCATAACAAGTAATTATTTGTAAATGTTGATGAAAAAATGGTTTTGTTCTTGAAATGTGTCAGGATTTCTTCAACCAGTTCCCTTTAGCTTAATCCAATTCTCAATTTAGCAATTCTCATATGTACGCAATAATAAGTATGTTACATTTACAGTAGAATCCATCTGAAATGCCATTCACTCTTCTGCTCTGCCTCTTACCCTGTGCTCTTAGCCCAATCTCAAGCTTCATTATTGGGCTTTGTAAAGGACCTCTTCGGCCCCTGGCTCTGCTCCCTGGAGCCGAACACTGCCCCAAAAAGCCCCTAATGAGCTGGGACAAACCAGGCTATTGTACCCAAACATGCTGCACGGCACAGCGGCTTCTACGACCGGCTTCATTGTCTTAATCCGCTGAGAAAACAAGTTTATTTAGTTAAGAGAAGTGAAAGTGGTGCAGTGTTTGTCAACATAGGGAGCAGTTGTCCTGAATATTCATTTGGCAGATCATGGACTGGTCTATAAATAGCAAAAGGCTTAATCACCAGAAGCAGAAGATGCAAGTGAGTGCCAACTGCAAGGGCAGATTTATACAAGAAGATTTCAAGTAGTTTTTAATGTTTTGAGAAATATAGTTGTCTTTGTTTTTCAATTCCTCTGCATAAACTTTAGAAGAATGTAATAAGTGATAGTGGTAGTGGAAGCAACAGATAGTATAGGGATACTGTCCTGGATTGGTCCTGGTCTAAGTTTCGCTTTAGAAGTGTGGTAACACAAGACCACAACAATGTTTAAAAAAAAAAAAAAAATTATTTAATAAATAATTTAACTTCCTCGGTCAGACTTGGTCCAGTTAAAGGGAACCAGAAGTGTGAACTCCCTCTAAATAGGTGTGAACACAACTGGCAACTTTCATATCTTTTGTGTATCCCAAAACGACTCATTGACTTCAAGAAATAGTATGCATTATTTTTGACTATTTCAATGAGACAATTTACTTTGAAGGGTGAAAAATGCATTCTGCCTATACCTCCCTATGCTACCACCAGAGGAAGGAGTCGAATTTGTTTTGTTTGTCTCCAAATTCGAATACTACCGACCACAAACACATACATACAATTGTAAAAAAAACCTCATTTCACCTGGGAAATTGACAAAACTATTTTATGGGTAATATTTTAGATTTTTTACTGGCAGGAGTGTGATGTCATAGTGGTACAATGACATCATACTATTACAGGACTGAGACAGGAGCTTTTAGACAGAATGAGCGGAGTTACATGTTTGTGACAAAAGATCATAGTATTAGCATGGATGGAGCTAAAAACAACTGTTATTAATGAGGGAACGATGTTTTAACACGGTTTTGCAAGAAGTAAATGTTGCAGTACTACCCAGAACCATCTATGTCACAACCTCCACATTCTCCACTTTACTACCTATGCACTAGCCTGTCCCCTGCACTGAAAGACCCCATCACAAATCTTTTAAGCCTTATTAGCATCTTGACACTGGCTGAAGATTCATAGCTGGAGGACCCGTCGTTTGAACAATAAAGCCTTAAATAGTCTATGACACCGCGGCTCAGAGGCTCCATCCCCTCCAGCTGTAAAACGCCATTGAAACTAAGAGGAGCAAGTGTTGATTCTATTCCCCAGGCTAAAACCAGGGCGTGAGGAGGTTGGAGTGGTATCGGGAGATCTTGTGCGTGACCAGCAAAAACAAACCAATTAGGAAACCAATAGGGGAATTCATAATTATTGTTTGTATACTTACATGTGTTGGAAAGATAACAATGTTTTGAATTACGAATTTAGTAAGATTTAAGACTTAGAATGATACATTTCTTGGTTGTAGAGGTGATATTTTTGCTAAATCAGCTTTTAATAGTGGTCCACTTTACACAAATACTTCTCAGATTAACCCACATCGTTCGTCTGTGATCTGAGAAAATGACAATTAGATACATTTCCGTAAATTGTTGAGTAAAGGAACTTGGTGTAACTTTTTGGTTCATGGTACAAGCAGGTATTTGAACTATTGTGTATACAGTGTAAGCTTCTTAGACACATTTTTCATGTTGTTTGTGCCGAGTCAGGATATCCCATGCTGACCTGTTAGCACTGTCTATGACCAAATGACACTTTTGATGAATGAATATTCATAATAATATTCATGATTAATGCATATATTACCCTATAACAAACCAACCAAAAAGTTGCATTCCTTCACATATTGTTAAACCATATATGCATGTGATTTAAACTATTATAATATCGACTCACACTAAAGGAATATAATTGTAGCTCTATTGGACTGACACCAAACCAGGTCTATACATCAACTTTGACATTTTTCTCTTCTTCCCTAAAGGCACTCATCTGTCTACTATGTATTGTCAGAAATGTTGATCCAATGATTTAAAACTGACAGTGTTCAGAATGTGTGAAGAGATTATGGAATTTTCAAAAAAGCGACTCAAAGTGCTGTATAAAGCACCAGAGGACACATCAGAATTATGATCTACAATGGTAAGAAATGTCATATTTAATAATTTATTTGAATTCAACCTAGCTTATTACTTTAATTCTACGTCATGGCTTATATACTGTAAGTCTGATCTTCGCTTATCTCTGCTTTAGCAGCATAATTATTGAAAAATTTAAAGCTTTTTTCCCTGCACGAAAATGTAGCAGATTCCATTCACAAAATGGCTTATATTTTCAAATTTAAAACAGCCGGAGCATATCGCAGTGCTGAACAGTATGCATCAGGTCAAAATAAAAATAAATCACATAAATGCAACAGGATGTGGAAACTGATTGTGTGACTTATTCGGCCCAATCAAGCAACATAACTGGGCTGGTTAAAATTAAAGCTGGTGTATGTTACTTGTTCTGGGTTCCATAAACACATGTTTTTTAAGTAATGTGTTGTGAACACAGAGAGCCGATTGGACAGGAAAAGCTGATCTTAAGAGGTGACAAAAATGCATGCATAAGAAAAATATATAAAACCAAACAGTTTATTGTTGCCATGTTTGATTATTGTTTGTTCAAAGTTAAATACTCAGCTTCAAGAGACCTTGTGTAGATAATCATACAAATCCCTCATAATAATTTCGACACAAAATTTTACCACTGTAACATCATTACAAATCCATCATTTTGCCGCGGCCCAGAGGCGAGCTGCGTGTTTCGCTGGAGAAATGCTCTTTTCTTGAAGCTGGGATGACATTTAGGAATCTGTGACGACCGGAGCGAGGAGCAGGTCTGGGCCGGCACCCTTCTGCAGGGCACAAGAGCCGATGAGCCGTTGCCGCGGGCGACACACATTCCATGTCATCACCATAGTTACGCCCCCCTCCCTCCCTCTGGGTGCCCCCGGAGAAGCTCAGGGTCACACACCTGTCTGCACGTCCTCCGCACATCCGCTCTCCAGCATCTTCACTTTAGAGTTAAGAGAAAAACACACAATCGGGCAAATGCAAGGCTGGGAAAAAAGTTCATTTTAAAATAAAATTGGTTCATAAATTGAGAAAATGAATGTTTTAGATCAGATTCAGAATAATTTTTATTGTCATGTAAATAACAGGAAGTAACAGACTAGGAAATTGCTTTGGCTCTTGGTGCAAACAGTCAAAAGTAGAGAATCGAATAATATGAAAAAAAAACTGCTGAGCCTGTAAATTTCATTCATCTGTAATTAAGTAAATTCTTAAATCATGTGCAATGTGCAATACTGCAACTTCAGAATGTCACAGAACAATGTCACTTTACCTCATGTCACTTTACTTATATACTTTTTATCCTGCACTATTTAACTGTACAGTATATAACTGCACTACTACATATATATTTTTTGACTGGTATTGAAGCTTTTTCAGCATCTACAGCTAGTTATGTTAGTTAAGAAACATAGCTACTACTTATTTGTATATATTGTGTGTGATCCCTGTGTGCTCTTACTACTGTCCTGTATGTGTGATGCAACATCGAAATTGAAATTTCCCCACTGTGGGACGAATAAAGGAATTCTTATCTTATAAATAAATAAATAATTAGTACAATTATTATTATATACAAGTGCATACGGTGGCTTTTTTGGTCAATATAGACATGTTAAATGACAAATTTGATATTTTATGATGAAAATGATTGGTTAAAAAAAAAAAAGCAATAAAAGCAGTTCCTCAAAAAGCTAGTTCCCTATTGTTGATCCACGTTCAATAAAAGCTATGCACACATAATTACTAGCTTATTACAATTGTTTTAATAAAATACTTCCAACTCTAGTAAAAGGTACTGTTTTACTTCTATCCTTTTATGTATCTTATATTATTTCATGACTTTATGAGAATTTTTTTTGTTCATATTCTCAACTAGTGTGAAAATGAGATATTTAATTACGTTTTCATGGTTTTATTATGGGAGACTGCCTGTGATACAGTAGACACATTTCCCCCCTTGGGCTGAATCCTCAAAAGTCTTTTCAGATGAGGTTGCCAAATAATTTGAGACTAGGTCAAAAAAGAACATAGAAGCGGTAAAAACTTGGACTGAACCTCAATGACATAAGATTACTTGGCCTGTTTGGAATTTGTGGTCGGGACAGGAGCACACTTGCAGGTAGATGTAGGTACACATGAAAGCAAACAGACCATAAAGACCTCAGCAACGGCCATGGCTGTATCCAACTGTTGACTTTTGAAGTACGTTTTCTTAGTCCCGTCACTGATAAGAGCTGAGTTGAGTGATGGACGAGAGATCCATGCTTTTTTTTGCCCTAAGTCAGGAGCAGGGATTGGTTTTTGTGTTTGCAGGCTACAGTAAGTTGGGAGTATTTGACTTTAGTTGGACGATTATACAGAAAGGCTCAAGTTTGCGCAACATCTTTTTGTCACACTGGATAGAAAATCTGCAAGAACAAGGCAACCTTATCTACGCAAATCACTCGTATGAAACTCTGAATGTCTGCTGAATGATAAATTAAATGTACTTAAGGCTGTGTTGCATAATTTCTTTCCTCATAAATATTGCGATATTTTTGTCTCCACTGAAAAAGTCTGGTAAAATGTACATGTTGTGAACAAAATAGACCACAACATGCTGTCTTTATCTTCATTAGTAAACGTGTGGTTTTTAGCCCTGTGAGTCTATATTTGATGCTTTGGGCTGCGAGCTGATTAGCTGGTTTTTCACTTGTCTGCCTGAAAAAGCTGATCTAAAGATGGGACAGGCCAAAAATACAGTACAAGCATGTGAAAACTAGTGTTAGAACCTACATGGATTTTATGACATAGTTACATTTTTTGTGGTTTGAAAGTTAGTTCCTCCAGCTGTACATGTAAAAACAGATATTATTATTTTACCATGTACATACAGAGTCAAAATGGAAGGGATAGTGCACAGAGACACTAATTATGAAGGTGCATTTATCCTTTTTCTATCACAAACACAACCATTCACTACATTTCATTCATTCTCCAACAGTTAAATTTACATTTCCCAGTGTTAACTACAACAGTATAGTAGTGTGGTATATAGGAGAATTCTCTACGTCCGGTTGGATCATCAGGACTATTGGTCTTCCCAATTGTCTTTTTTAAATTGTTTTATTATTATTTTTATTTCATTTTTTTTAATTTCTATTATACAACAATTATTGTTGTTCTTTCTGGTGATACGTGCTCGTCAAAGAAGACCAGAGAGTTTTGTTCAAAAAGTGGAGAAGATGGATCGTTCCTAAAATTTGGGAAAATCCTCATATATACCTTTAAAACACATTAGATAAAACACATACTGTGTATTATCTAATTTGTTCTAATCTAATTCTAATTCTTGAATCAGTGCTGACAGTTTTGGCCACTCTAGCCAGTTTTTCAGTTCACAGGTAAAAGTATGGTAAACATTTAATGAAGAAATACCTGTAGAAAGTGACAGTCCAAGCCTGTTTGGGAGGCCAGCATTCGGTCAACAATAGCCTCTCATTACACTGCATTCTCACAGCAGCCCCATCATCTGCTCATCTCACACTGTTATTTGCATTGTCTGTCTCGTCTGGACCGGTTAAGGAGACCTTTGCGACCTGCGAGCCAAAGGTTAAACAAAGGCAAGCTAATATAGGCCCCAAATGAACTGAGGGGACAAATAATGCTCAGGAAAATGGACACAATCAAGTTAATGATGTCAGAGAATGATTTGAGTGTAATAATTTAGGTTTGTGCAAACGTGAAGGATGTATTGTCCCAAAGTGCATATTATAGAGTTAAAAGAATTTTAAAATTGAAATAGCCATTTTTGCTGTTGCTGTTAATAAATTGCAAAAAGTGTGTGATTATTGTAGTTCTTTGCCAACAAATTAGGGGCAAATAAATTGCTTGTTTTTTGGTATTTTTTTCAATGCTGCTATTGCATTATTTTCTCATTCCAATTGAGATATCTCCTCTTTTTCATCCTTTTTTATAAGAAATCAGAATGTGTGAACAACTCAAGTCTGACTCTAAGAATTCTGGGACATAAGAGAAAAAAACCACTGAATTCAAGCCTTTATATATATATATATATATATATATATATATATATATATATTAGGGGTGGGCGATATGGCCTAAAATTCATATTGCGGTATAATTTAGGTCACAGACGGTAGACGGTATATATTGCGGTAAAATTTGGTGTGTGAATTTCAATATAGGTCTAGCAGGTTCTTGCATAAAATAGTCAAGATGGTTACTTATTTATATATTAGAATCTAGTATATATATTTTTTGAGTTGTGAGACAAATGACAAGACAAATGCTGTAACATACAGTATTTATGTGTGTTACAGTAAAGACCATTTACTGTAAAAGCAATTTAAAAAAAGAAAAGAAAAACATATGTATTCATTTAAAAAATAGAAACACTCACAAATGTTGAAATCAAAGCCTGCAGGTGTTAGACATGGTCATTATTTATAGTGTCTGATAGTTTTGTGCAGGTACATGGCTTTAGTAAGAGCTATTGTTTGTTTACAAAGCTGGTCTTGCCATTTGTTGACGCTCCCTAAGCGCTTTTCTTTGCGCTTGCAGTGAACTGGATGATTCAATGGATTTATGTGCATTAAAACAGCGCATTGGATTTGAACAGTTGATGTAAATGGTCATTTTGGCAGAATTCATTTTGTTTAACAAAGTAGCTTTTGTGAGCTATTGAGCTATCTGACGCTAACTTTCCCAAACTTCTGTTGTGATGATGCTGCGGACACGGCACACGCTGGCGCTTCGAGCCTACGCCCCTTTGACACTGATTGGCCAAAAGGTAGACTCTTAAACTGTGATTACTGTGTGTGTATTTACCTCTGCTGGGGCCGCTGTGACAACAATACAGAGACAGAAACACGGTGTGAATGCCGTGCTGCTGTTCGCTGTTTCCAGTGGTGTCCAATAGTGCTAGGCTAATGCTAGACTAATGTGCTAGGCTAATGCTGCTGAATGCCGGTTTGTTTTGGTCCTTTCTGCTGGCGTCAGAGCCTGCGCAATTTGATGACATAATGACCTATCGCAATATGCCGGTATAACAAAAATCTCTACCGTGGGCCAAATTTATATAGCATACCGCTTATACCGTTTATATCGCCCAGCCCTAATATATATATATATATATATATATATATATATATATATATATATATATATATATATATATATATAATATATATATATATATATATATATATATATATATATATATATAATTTACACAGCCCTACATCACAGCAGTCCTTAGCAGCACTTCCAATCATATCAATCCTACTACTACTTTTACTACTGCTTCTACTTCCACATCTTCAATGTTGCATTTATTTGGCCAATTATACCTTCAAATAATCTACTCTTACTTTTCCACAGATTTCACCTGTTGACATCCCTGTCTATGGAATATATACTGTAAGCTTTCGGACGTTTTCCATTGTATAAAACCAGGACATTTTTCATTTGGCCAAATATTTGCGAATAAAAGGTTTATGTCTTTCTTGGATACATCAAGTACTTCTAAATGACAAAAAAGATAAAGGTGATGGTTGACAGTTCTGGAGGGTCTGTGAGATGAGCAATGACAATAATGAGTCTAGCCATGATTTAGGAGGATAATTAAAACTGACAAAGTGTTGAACTCTGAGGTCACTGTAGAATTATTGGGTTAAAATGGGGGCAGTCAAGAACATTTGCATAAAAATGGTTTGAGTCTGGTGTTTTAAAGGCACAGTTGCAAGCTTGGGCTTGTGATACATGTGCAGAGATGTAGCTTCAAGGTAAACTCTATGTGAACTTGTTAGTCAACCTGTTAGTACCTGTGGTCAATATTTGTCCCTAGATAGTTGTTAAACATGTACAAATCATCAGAGTTATTCTTAATTAAAAATACAATGGGTGTATAAAATATTTAT